TCGTTGAGAGAGACAAGAGCGGAATATCGGCTTCAAACCTCCCCTCCACATGCACAAACGGCCACCTCGAATCCACTTCATGCACCATCCTACACGCGGGCTAAGCGTTGTCTTCCGTGAATATCGGTTTTTCCGCCGATAAATTTATGAATGGACGGTGCTTCGGTTACATTAGGTGACATTCGGGCGGCATCGCCTAATGCCCTTATCTTCCATTATCTTTCCTAGCACGGCTAACGCCCGTCATGATGGAGCGGCTCCATCAAGTTTTACAACGCAGCTCATTACTATGTAGCTAACAGTACAAATTTGGGCATATGACATCAATTATCAGCGCTCCAAGTTGGTGACGGAAACCGATAGCCAAATGCTTACCGCGTGTTAGGATGGTGCAGCAAGCTGGATCGATGGCTGGCTGGGCATGTGGCGATGGGAGGTTTAGGAGCCGATATCTCGCCTCAGGAGTATCGTATTGACAAGCGGTTTGGTCTTGTTTTAGAGAGCAAAGAATTCTGCTTAAATGCAATACCATCAAATTATTCTAGACTCGCAGGCAAAGTAGAATAATGTTAGTCGTGAAATAGCACTATTTTCCCGTTTTTCCGTTGTACACTCTAGGTATTATCCGCTCTTGGTGAGATGGATGTCCGGACGCGTAGCCTAGCGGCTCCTTGTCCGGAACCGGTCGCATAGCCACGACCTAATCTTTATTGATAACTTTCATAAATATGCATAGTTTCATAATAATTTTTATTAGAATATTGTGCAATGTACTCTTTGCACAGAGGGTGCAAATACAGTTTATGACGTCCCGTCTGGCAGCGCTGTTTTACACTACCGCCATCTAGCGCCCGATCTAAAAAATTATGGAAATGTATCAGAGCGTACCTATAGTAAATTTATTCTTCCGCTCAATCGTTATCGAAATATTAAGCCGAATACACTTTATGACACCCGCATAGCGCTATAACCTTAGCTAGCGTTTGGATGATATAAACACGCTTCGAATTCATACTAAATATGGTTTGCTAAACCTATCACGCACACAGATGACCGACAACACATGTACATGTCAATGTACATATAGTAAATTTAATTGTCCGCTCAATCGTTATCGAAATATTAAGCCGTATACACTTTATGCATGCAGCTCACCCTTAGGCGCAGTATATACTGGCTTAGATAATAGATAAATTGGCTTAGTCGTCAATACGGTACCTCCGATACATTTCCATAGTTTCTTAGATCTGGCGCTAGATGGCGGTAGTGTAAAACAGCGCCGCCAGACGGGACGTCATAAACTGTATTTGCACCGAGTTCTGTAAATGCTCACAATTCGTGACGTGTGTCGGTGTGAGTCTGTGACATGTCACTGCCACTGTCACTGCAATTCACCCTGTTTGTCATGACATAAGTCCATAGCCAACGAGAGCATGGTAATAAATAAATTTCGTGGTTATTTAGCATTATTTTTTTATTGAGACGCTTCAACTGCCTGTCGCCGGGAGGACTGCAGTGCTGAATGAAGTGAATCTGAGTGATGGCAAGTAATTAGTGGAAATGGAATGATGACAAAGTACTTTTTTGCACTGGACGTTGGTTTCATGTTTATAAAATAGCATACGGATGGCAGACAAATACAGGTAATAACAAATGCATAGACGAACAGGTCTAGACAAATTACACTCTTACCAACTTGATACAATCGTCCTTCCGGCGAAAAGATAGTGATGTGCCTATCAAAACCTGCACTACTGGGCCTCGACATGTTGCTATTTATTAACCGTCAAGTGTTGGTCTTTTCGCATTGACTTTCGGGAATATTTTCTGCGGATGAATACTCATTGGCTCTATATTTTTATTATCTTTATTTGTTTTTAAACTCTTTGTAACAATATTTCGCCTAAATTTTATTATAAATATCATAGGAAACATACGTACATATGTTAAACTTCATTATCTGGCAAGATAATGCTACAAAATATTAGTATCAGACTATATTACGTGCGTAGTAAACTGCTATGTGGGGACGTTGCGAGGCCAAATTACTCTATGAAACTTCTCATTTACTATCACCTAGTCCTTCTGTTTTACTGAACGTCCATACGTTTGTTCATTGTGCAGTTTCGCGCATGATTAATTATAACAAGCTTTGACAGCAAGCTATTGGCAAGAGCTTGGATGAGGTAAGAGTATATCTACACTCTTTTATTCACATTTTTATTGTTTTACTTTTGTTTTAGTGTTTAGTTTTCAAGATTCTGCTCGTGCTGAAATCAACTCAGTCGGTCACAGTGACAATGTCTATCATCATCATGTCTACTTCTACTTCTACTTCTATACTGGACAGTCCCTAAGGAATAAACGTCCAGGGCTATAGCTAGCCATGGTGTGTGTGACCTAGCTTGGGTACAGCCAGGTAGTTAGCCTTTTTTTAGCCGAATGGCACTGATTCAGTAAACTGATCAGATCATGTCATTCATTGTCACGGATAAAAATCACTGGCAGCAAGAACCACTCCGCTGCAGCTACAGCACACACACGGCCATTGTCTATATATGACATCTGTTATATGTTACATATAATATATGTTATATATAACCAGGGGCGGCGCCACAGGGGGGGCAGGGGGGGCGGTCGCCCCCCCTATCATTTGCAAGAAAAAGGAAAGAAGAAGAAAAAGAAAAAGAAAAGAAAAAAGAAAAAGAAAAAGAAAAAGAAAAAGAAAAGGAAAAGAAGAAGAAGAAGAAGAAAAAGAAAAAGAAACATCTTGCAAATGTCTTGCAAATGATGGGTGGGGTGGGGGGTCACCCCCTCATCATTTGCAAGAAAAGGTAAAGAAGAAGAAGATTCTTGCAAATAATAGGGGGATCGCCCAAAAATGAGTGATGTAGCCTACAAGCTGGACCACTTTCATCGAAAAATCGAAAAATCAAGTGTCGAAATTCAATCCATATAAAACCTGTGATTAGTTTGATAATCGATGTCAAGGTTTTATTTCA